TTCACTTTTTAATAAGATTATGTGGGAACATAAAGCATTAAAAGTGATTATGTAGCCCAGGTGTTACCTTCCAAGTAAATTCTCTTAAATTACTGCTGTTAATTTTATCTTCATGGTCAAAATGAATTATCAAATTAACAATAACCTTAGGCAATAGCTAGACCAGTCTTTCACCTAACAGAGATAATTTTATAATAAGTACCACAAATCATGTGTTGGTTTTTGTTTTGTTTTAAGGAAAATTCCAAGCGTATATCAAAAATAGAGAAAACAATATAACGAATCCCAATGTACTAATCACCAGCTTCAGTGATTATCAACTTTGGCCAATCTTGTTTTATCTATACCTCCATCCACTTTCTTCATGCTCCTGGATTGTATTGAAGCAAGCACATATTAAATCATCTAGAAATATTTTAGTATGCAACTCTAAGACATTTTAGAAAACATCCACAAAGACCTAAAAATGTTAATTTCTTAATAATAATTTATTATCTTCAAATGACAGTTCAAATTTCCCCAGTATCTTTGTTCACTCCCTCCCGGTTCAAATAAGGATCTAAATAAGATCCACATTGCAGCTGATTATGAATCTTAAATCTCTGATTCATTCCTCTTTCCTTGCATTTTACGTACGAAAGAAGTTGGTCCTCTAATTCTGTGGAGTTTCCAACAGTCTGGAATTTGGTGATTGTCTTCCTGAAATTTAACTTATTCCTGTCTCCCTGTATTTCCTATGCATAGGTGATTTAAAACTAGAGACTTCATCAGACTCAGGCTCAATTTTTAAGTAAGAATTATGCCAGACAGGGTATCTCATGCCTGTAATCCCAGCATTTGGGAGGCTAAGGTGGGAGGACTGCATGAGGCCAGGAGTTTGAAATCAGCCTGGGCAATATAGTGAAATCCAGTCCCTACAAAATAAATAAATAAATAAATAAATGAAAAAATAAAAGGGGTACAGTTGGTAGTGTATTTTTCTATTCTGATAGAAAAATACACTACCAACTGTAAATGTATGATTGTTTCTCTCATGATGTTAGCAGCTACTAATTAACATTGCTTAGATTCATTAAATAATTAAGGTTTAAAATTTCCTCCTCATTTATAATAAAGAAAATCCCTCCTAAACAACCATTTAACTGCCCTGAAAGATAGTTCATATAGGACATACAGGAAAAAAATGCTTTATTTTTCCCCATATTGATTAAGTTTCAAAATAATGTGTCGGTTCCCAAGCATCCTCCAAATGTGACAGGGAGTTTGTTGTTTTGTTGTTAGTATCATTATGTGCTCGTGGATCAAACTATTTGACATGCTCAAATCCATTGGGATCGTTAATTTGATTAATACTCAGAATGCTCCATTATTGACCTTCAGAATCTTTTCATGCTGATGCCTGTCCTTTTGACATGACTTAAGTTTTCCAAGCCTCTTTACTTTCTGATATGGAAACATATATTGTAATTTTTTCTAAGACTAGAACTCAGTTGCTCCTTCTACTAATTCTGGTAATTTTTATTGGAAGATGTTATTTGGATCCCACAATCTGGGTACTAGGAGTAGAACATCCATTCTTGATTTGAGCTGTTTCTGCAGGTACTCACTTGTTCAAAATATTGACTATTTCATTTTGCAACAGATCTATTTTAGAAAATCTTTATATAGAACAAATAGCAATCTCACTATAGCCTCTACCTGTTGGTCATAATCTGCCAGGGGAAGCTTACCTGATGATGACAGTGCTGCTGATGATGATAATGATGGTGATGGTAAAGATGATCATGATACGAGATCACAGGCACTGTGTTAAGCATTAAATACATACTATCTCATTTCATCCTCATAATGTTATGGCATAAATATTATCCCTCTTTTAAAGATGAAAAAACAGATGATTAAAGGGTAAAGTTGCTTTGATCTTGAATACTAATTTGTGTCTTTCTCACTTCAAATTTGGTGATAAACCCTATTCCTATGACAATCTTTCCTTGCTCCTATACCTTGTTTTGTGATGTTAGTAAAGACAACACATCTATGGCTTTTGTAAACCCAGATGGTTTGTAGTAATCATGTCTTCTTTATCATTATCTTATTATTCATGCCTTCTCAACAATGTATGTAAGAATTGGCTTATGGATTTCAAGATAGGCTTTTTCCTTCTAGTACAAAATAAGTTTTATCCAACATATCCTGTTAAGTATCAGTTTTTGAACAAAGAATATTCTCTTTTGTTATTTCCCAGCCATGAATTCCTGTGCCTCAGTATTTTAAAAATCTAGATGACAGAGATATAAAAGTTCCTAACTCACAGGGTGCTTTATAAAAATTAAAACCCAATTGTCTGTTATGCATTTAGTACAGCACTTGATACAGAGCAATCTCTCATGGATTGTTATTGCTATTATTCCTAGTCTATAAAACTATTCTTTGTCACCTTGATGGGACTTATGATAAGCTGACCAGCAGATAATTGGTAATACATATTCTGAAAGAGGTTATAAAAGATAATGCTCTTAAAAGCTCTTTATGGCATCAAAATGGAAATATCAGGTAAATTATATCTATGCCTTATATCATGCATTCTCAATGGGAAAATATAACCGCCCCAGGAGGAAAGACCTAGTGCTTCGTTTGGGGGCAAAAAATATTACAATGGTTTGTGGTCCTCCAGTGAGCCACTGTATACTAACAGATATACGGTGTGTGTGTGTGTGTGTGTGTGTGTATATATATATATATACATATATATATACACACATATATGTGTTATAACATATATATATACACACATATATATGTGTTATAACATATATATATATAACATATATATATATATATATATATGTTACTAAAATTTTTGGGGGTGGAGTGGAGGCCCTTAGGAAAAAAAAATGTTGAAAAAGGCTATTTGTGGGTACAATGAAAAGAGGTCTGAGAAATACGACCTCTTCTAGATTAAAGGAGCAAAGAAACTAATGAGTTTTCCATGAAAAATTTGATGAACTTTGTGTAGCTTTTCAAAAATGTTTTATTCTAACTGTTTTAAGAAAAACAAATTTTAAATCTTTCCCTACCTTAGGAAATGCAAGAATAAGTAATGTGGAATTTTATCACAGTGGTCAAGAAGGCTTCAGGGATAGCACAGATCCAAGATATGCTGTAACATTTCTTAACCTAGGACAGGTTTGTGCTTTTTAATTTTGTATATATTTAAAATATGCAAAATATTGTTATTTTCATTTGACTTATAAATAGCCACATCTTATATTAGCTAAAATGATAATCTAATATAATAAAACTTTCTTGGCCCATTAACTTTTTAGACCATTTTTAGACCAAACAGCATTTGATTCTACCCATATTGTGTATTTATTTAAGGTCAGTAAAAACCATAGGAAAAGTAGTACAGAGGGTGAAAGAATTAAAGATCTATAATAGTGGTTTATATCTCCACTTTATTTTACAATGACCAAAAACATTTTTCCAAATGGTTTCTATTAAACAAAGAAAGTATTGCTTAAATTTCTCAAATGAAATGCATGTCTGTATATCTATGCCTCTGTCAAAAGTGGGAAAATAAATATTACAAGAGGGCTGGTGATTTAAGAAAAATGAGAGACAGCATATTTCTTAGTAGAAATAAAAAATCATCCTGTAGGTTTATATTGAAACCCCTAACCTATTCAATGACTGGTTCCTATAGACATTTGAATTGTAACCCCTTGTCTAAAGTATTATTTTTTGTAATTAAAAAAACCCTACTCATCATAAACTATTCTGAAAAAATAATTTTTAGCACCTTAGCATTTTATAAATGAAGATAGAAATATAAATGTATAGAAAAGCACTTAAGAATTTTGAAAACTGCATTTAACGTAAGCATATATATTTAATCCATCTAATAATTCATATGTATGGAAATTTCCATATTTTATATATGGATAAAAACTTATGAAAACATCATCTTTAAGAGAAAGTGAATTGAGTATTGATTATTGGTCAAGGTTTGTTTATTGAAAATCGTTTACTTCATTTTTTTCTTTAAATATATTGTAATTTTATTTTAAAAATGTTCACTGTATCCCAACGTTTTATAGATTCAAGAACATGGCTCATCTTATATTCAAGGCTGTGCTTTTCACCATGGCTTCTCTCCAGCAATTGGTGTATTTGGGACAGATGGATTGGACATAGATGACAACATCATTCACTTTACAGTGGGAGAAGGTAATATAATAATAAATAAATAATATTTTGGTCCAAATTATTAACTGTAAACTCTAGAGACAAGCTGCCCAATTGATCTTTCTGTGAGGATGGAAATGGTCTATATCTATGTCATCTAATATAGTAATTACTAAGTCACCTGTGTCTATTGAGCACTGAATTATGGCTAGGAGCTGAATTGTCACTGAGGAACTGAATTTTTAATTTTAATGGTATATAATTGTACTTAACTTACATTTAAATAGCCACATGTTGCTACGGCTATCACATTAGACACTATAGCCTTATAATATGGAAGAATTTTCACGAGACCACATGCTTATATGAGTTATCTAATCACTAATTATTTAAATTTTTATGACTTTTAAAATACTCCTCATATATTAATCACAAATATTATTACAAATAAAGGCTATATACAACTTTAGATATATCATATTGATTTTTGTCAGTGTAAAGTATAAAAAACTTGTTGAATGTACACACAAGCTGTGGATGTCTTTGTAAAATAAAATCTGCAATAAACCCTGTGAATCCACATAATTAACAAGCGCACCAGAAGATTCCAATTCAGGTCGTTTATTAAAAAGGTAGAGTTCATTATCAAAGAGTTCAGAGGACTCCTTCAAAAATCTAAGATGATCATTTGTCAGGCTTAAAGTAGAAAAATAATTTTATGGAAAAATCTAAACACATTACCCGTAATAGTCATTTCAAATTGACTTATGTATTTTGGGGATTTTCTTTTGTTTTTCTTTTTTTTTTTTTTTAACAGGCATAAGAATATGGGGGAATGCCAACCGAGTCCGAGGGAATTTGATTGCTCTTTCGGTTTGGCCAGGAACCTATCAGAACAGAAAAGATTTAAGTTCAACTCTCTGGCACGCAGCAATTGAGGTAGTGAGAACAAACTTAGAATTTTACTAAATTATAATTTATAATTAATTATATCAGTTATTAAAAAATATCGGATAAAATGCACTAACTAAAAGAGTGAATGCACTTTTAAAAAGATGATGTAATTTTCGATAGCCATTGGTATTTTTTCTTTCTGTTGATGTTCATTGGTTTAAATAGTTCTCTTACCTCCTTTCTTCTCCAACATTATTTCAAGTTCCAGCACAGAGTCTCTTTTGCTGCTACTCAACTGAGTGCTTTGGGCAGATTACTACTTAATTCTGGATTTAGTTTCCTCTCTGAAAATGAAAATAGACAATGGAGTCTCTAAAATACTTTTCTCATCTAAAATTGTCATGATTGTATATGCAAGGTTATTTTACTTATCTGATATTACTAATTGGAGCCTTCTTGTTCCCATGAAGTTTTTTCATTTACTATAGGTGTTTGTTTAGATATAGAATAAGTTTGTTTAGATATAGAGTAAGATTACAAACAAGAAAAGAGAAAGTGGAGAAGATAGCTCTCTCCTATTTTATCTTCCTATGACATAGAATCCAAAGAAACTAAAAATAGTTCTTTTTGAAAGATGCAATGAGGACTGAGTATTGCTTTCTTGCAACTACTAATTATTACCTTAAGGTAAAATTTGAAAGCTGAAATTTAGTATACATTTATGAGGTAAATATTCTCTTTTCATCTATTTATAAATATCGAATGTCAATTCCAAATCTTTAAAATTATCTATGGCTTTTGAAAGAAAAGGTACTTAATTAACATTATGAATTTCATGTGACTATTTTTATCAGAATTTTTAAAAATAAGTGTGTTTAATATGATTGCAATTCTTTACTGTTTTGCTGATGCCATAGGCAGGAACAAAATGTGTGCTCTATGCTTCCATTTTTTGCCACTTTGACTTGTCTTATAAAAATAAAATTGTTTAGCAATTATCTAACACTCATGCTAACCTACTTTGTGATTACAGCAAATGTTATGTAAACTAGTCAATGTCTCCACTGAATCTTATGGTCTACTTTCATTGCCTTACTTGCCTTTTTTTTTAAACAAATCAATCAAATTGGTAACAAAGTGTAACTAAAAAGAGCCTGTAAAAAGAGCTTGCACCTGTAATCCTAGCTACTTGGGAGGTTAAGGAGATTGCGAAGTTTAGGAGTTTGAGACCCACCTGGGCAACATAGTGAGACCCTGTCTCAAAAAAAAAAAAAAAAATATATATATATAGGAATTTATGTATACTTTTATATAAGTATATATTTTTATTAATCATATATACAAGTATAATATATAAATATATATTTATCACTTTTTGAGTGATCACAAATTCCTGAAAAAAGTGTCAACATTCTTGTTACCTTGTTATAATACTGGCATTTGTCCTGTGCCTTGTAAAGTTTAAACCACATTCAGTGGATTTCACGACTGAAATAGGAAATAATCTCTTTAATGTAGTTTTTAAATGAAGTCCAGGGTATAGTACCTAGTAATAGTTTTACACCAAGAACCTAGTATAATTTCAATACATCATTTGTAATTAAGTTTGAATGGGGTAAATTATAAATTCTTTCTCTTGAAAATATTGTTATAATTAAAGGTTTTCATAAGTATATTGTCATACGCTTACTCTCAATGTATATAAATGCTTACTAGCCTGATGCAAAGTATTTATTTATTGTTGCGCTAGATAAATGGAGGGACCAATACAGTTTTGCAGAACAATGTAGTTGCTGGCTTTGCAAGAGCAGGATACCGTATTGATGGTGAACCTTGCCCAAGTAAGTCTTTTAAACTAGGAATTGCTAAAACTAGGAAATAACTTGCCCAAAATTGTTAGAAATAAATAATTATTGCTTGTTACTTCAACATGTAATATATTTTCCTTCCGGGCACTGAAATAACAAGATAAATTATTTCAAGATAACATTGGATCCAAAAAAAAATGAATAGGTTTCTAAGGAAAACTTTATTTTCCCAAGCTTATGATCCCAAAATTCCAACAGCAACTTGAGTTCTTGGTTTTGTTGGTATTGGTATAGTAAGTGTCTCATCCTACTATCATTTTTACAAAAACAGCATTTATTATGGAGATACATCCCAACATATGCCATTATTTTAACTTCTGGTTTAATAAAATGAATGCCCACTATTCAATATGTTAAACCTGCATGGATCAAAAAGTCAACGAACATGAACAGACACTTCTCAAATATAGATTTCTCTATATTAGGTTAGTAAAAATAAAGAACTAACTGAACATCTACTCTTTTGGCAAGGCTGTAGTGTAGGGAAAGCAAAACATTTACACATTGCTGTTTGAAGGACAGAACAATATAATCTCTACTTAGGGTAACATGACATCTACCAAAATCACACATGCATTTCCTTTGACTTGGCATTTCCACTTCTATGAATCTAGCTAGGAGTTGCCTTTACAAACCTAGAAAATTATTTATAAATAAGGTTATTCATCACAGCATTGTCTTTACCAGCAGAAAACCAAAACCACCTTGTGTCCCACAATGGTAGAATAGTTATATAAAGTGAGACAATGGAACAGTAGGCCACTCTAAGGAAGAAGGCAGAAGAGCTCAATGTATTGATATGAAGAAATCTCTAGACTATTCCTAAGTGCTAACTTGAGAGTGCTAAATAGTTTATATAATGCTGTTTTAGGTATAATGCATATAAAATATGTTTTGTGGAAGAAAGGGAAGGAATAAGAATGTATATGGTATTTGTATTTACATAAGGAAACACTGAAAGTATAAAAATCATAGAAAGGAATTGGGAACAAGGGGACTCCATACTTACAATTGTATACTTTTAAAATAACCTCTATATTAAATTATTACCAGATCAAAAAAGTGAAATATATAATAAATCTGCAGACTTTACCACTCAAGAAATTTAAAGGAAGTTAAAGAAAATGGGACTTTCTCTGAGAAATGTTTGTCCTTTCCAGAGTTTATTTTAAAACAAATATCAGTATAGTTACTTTTTAACAGCTTTATTTGGTATGATTTATATAGCATAAAATTCACCTTTTGAAAAATATACTAGTTAATAAATTTATTTATTTTTAAGATTTTTTGAATCAGCGTTTTTTTCTGTCAATGCAAACATTTTTACACTTAAGCTGGTTTTATTCTTGTGCAAAATACATTTTGAAGGAATAAAAACTACTTTGTCAACATAACTGATTCCTTGATACATGCTCTTGTTAAATATTTTAGTTCCCAAAAGCTTACAGTGGCTTTTCTTTGACTTAAAATTTTTAAATATGTAATTTCTTTACAACTTCAATAAAGTTATCCTTATGGGTTTTTCAACATCAAAATATGATCTTTGAATATGAATATTTACTAGTATGTATAATGCTATGTAATGCATTTTTCACTATGTTGCTATTCCTAAATAATTGAGACTATTTATAAGGAGATTTTGGAGTTACAGCAACTGAAATTTGAAATATTACAAAGGAATGAAGGGTTTACGTTTCTATAATGGTACATCAATTTATTGGACCCATCTCCCAGAAAAGAGTCTGGAAAGCTGGGGAAAGTGATATATACTGGGTTCAGGGGTGAAACCCCACTTGTTCATGCATCTATATTGTGTAACTTTAAGGGAGAGAAATGTAAAAATCTTCTTATGCAGGAAAATTATCAAAACCAGGAAGATCATAAATAAAATGTAAAACCCAAAGGCCTAGGAAGAAGGGAAAACCAACAGAAGATAAAAGGAAACAGATACCAGGGAACCTGAACAGGAGAGCTGGAATTAAGCACAATTTAGGAGGTGGTGCTGCTCTTTATAGGCAATACCCCAATTCATGCCTGTTTAGGGGAGGGAGTTATTAAGGTTATTGAACTGAGTTGGACATAAGTAAAACTTTCATTAAAATCCACTTTGTTCTACATATTAATAATGAGTACAGTTGCCATTTGTTGCAGGTATTTGCTAGGCACTTTATATGGGTTATTTCATTTTATTTTGAAACAATTCTGAATTAATATTGAAAACATTTTACATATGAGGAAACTAAGGTCCTAAAAGGTTAAACAACTTTCCCAAGATGATGCATACACCAACTGTTAAAATATTTAAAGAGCACCTATCTCTCTACTACATTTTAGGTTCCAAGAAATGATGGTGAATTAGCTAGGCACAATGTCTTCTCTCATTAAGCTTACATCTTAGGAGAGAAGAGATGGATAATTAACAAATAATTAACAATAAAATATCAAGCGAAAGGAATTTTAACTGCAATATAAAGTGACGGAGCTGTTATTTTGAATCAGGTATTCAGGGAAGGTCTTTTAAGGAAGTGACATTTAGCTTGATAATGGAATGGCCAGAAGGACACAGCAATAGAAAGATGTTCAGGGGAAGCATTTCACAGACAGAAGCTATACCACTGTGTTTCAAGTTTAGGCTTATTTATATCTAAATCCCATGGTCTTTCTAATATAATTAATGTTTACTTTAATCAGATAAAATAATGCAAGGGTGTTAACACTAAACTTTTGGAAATGAGTATACAGTTATTTCAAATAACAGTGAAGAGACTAATTAGACAAGAGTAAATACTAAATAGACAAGAGCAAATGCTAATAGAATAAACCGGGTGAGGTAAGGCATGCCTGTAGTCCCAGCTATTCAGGAGGCCAAGGCAGGAAGATGGCTTGAGTTTGAAACTAGTTCAAGCAACATATTGAGGCTCCATCTCGAAAACATTTAAAGAAAAATACTAAATAGATTGAACCATAAATGGCAGAGCCATAAAAGTATTTGATCAGATTAAACCTGATATCAGAATTATATATGTAACTTCGAAAGAGTTTTTTTTAACTTTAACTGATAATGTTTATTAATACTATAGGACATGAATTGTAATATTAATTCTCTGGTTCTATCTTTCCTTCCA